AGCATGAGTTCCTAAAACCTAAAATTATGAGGGTCACCATTAAATATTCAATAGAGGGGTTGAAAAAAAATAGAATGAATGAAGCTAAAGTCCAAATTAGTAACCTGGAAGAAAAAGCTGAGGGAATGAAATTTCAAAAAAACACAAAAATGTAAGAAAAAGTTCTCCAATATTCATCCAATGACATTTTGAGAAAAAAAAAGGGATCAGCATTAGGAATATTGCAGGTGAGAAATCTGAGGCTTGGAGAAGGTAAGTCACTTAACTCTCCAGTAGTCCACAAACAGAGTTGGAATACCCCAGAGGTACTCCACTCAAATTCAAACAGCATATAAAAGTGTGGCCCCAATGGTTGTTTATAGCTGACACCCACACTGATTAGTTATATGCGCACCAGCCTGGTCCATAGCAGTTGTTGACAGTTGGCATCCACTCTCATTAATCAATGCAGGTGTCAATCTAGTCTACACCTATTGTCTGTGGATGACATCTGATTGGTAATCATATCAGTTGATAAATATCGAATATCATTCCTGCATAAGCCCATTCTCTATCAATGATGCCCATATAATTTCACTGTACGATAAAAAAGGGGAGGCAATATTTGAGATTTTTATGGATCTCAAATTTGAAACTGGAGGAAAGAAATGAGAGTGGTTTCCGTCACATCAACGTTTAAGCTATGAGAAATTTTAAGGAAAAGTGTTCATCCCTCTTCTTTCTTTTTCCCTGTGCACCATGCTTGCTTTCCCTCCTTCTTTCGTAAGTGGCCCAGACAAAGAATAGGTGAGTCCTGTTCTAGAAGGCCACCTAGGATGGCCCAAAGGTCAGGTCCCAAACAAGGATGTTTAATCCAAAGGGCTTAGCAGAATATAGGAAACAAGATACACAGCCCAAACTGGTTGAATGGAGAAAGCAAACAGGAAGTGGTCTAAAGAAGTATGGGACCAGCCCTAGCTGGTTTGGTTCAGTGGACAGAGCGTCAGTCTGTGGACTGAAGGGCCCTGGGTTCGATTCCGGTCAAGGGCACATGCTCAGGTTGTGGGCTCGATCCCCAGTGGGGGGCGGTGGGGAGTAGGCAGCCGATCAATTATTCTCTCTCATCATTGATATTTCTCTCTCTCTCTCTCTCTCCTTTCCTCTCTGAAATCAATAAAAATAAAATAAATAAGTATAAGATCTGTGCTAACAGCTATGGCAGGTAGATTAAGTATGCCTCTAGCTTGGGTTTGTGTGGACCAATTGCATTTTTTAAAGGTACCAGAGAAGAAACAGCCTTGATAGAAGCACCACAAACTGTACCTAAAGCCAACTAATTCAGCTGTCCTGTTTCTTCTCCAATATTTTTAGTGCAAAATTAACCCCAAATTTCTCAACTATAGAATTTCACCTTCAACACACCAAGGCAGATAAGTGGCCAAAGTTTGATGCCAGCCCCAATTTCTGCCAACATAAGGGCAAAGTCAAAGTTAAATCAAACTCGAGCATTATCTTGGTATCCAGTGCAGTATTGAGATGAATAATGATATTCATAAAACTGAGGCCTTTGCCTCCTCAGGAACCACAAACCCAGATCCCACCAGGAGGCCTTAAAGGAGTAGTTTAGACTTTGTTGAGGGTTTGTGGGAGTTTGCAAAGTACATTCACCCTTAAGGAGCCCTCCCTGAAACCACTGGGAGTTATAAGCCAGCGAGGGCTGTACTGTTGGGTTTTAAATGTCATTTTCACACTCCTCCACGGCTTACCAGGAGAACGTAAATAAAATGCCACTGAGCTACCTGCTGTTTGTGCCTCCTATTCCCTCCAGGCAGGAACAGAAGCAAGTCATCTTCCCAAAGGGTTAACAGTCCTGGAAATGTTTCTGTGCTTTGAAATATTACATGAGACTCACTGCTGTAAAACGATGATTATCTGCATTTTATCCCCTGCCTCTTCATCTAACAAATACATTTTTACAGGTTTTACAACGTTCTTTACAACCCACCTAAAACACATCATTTTCCTCCTGCTTATACCACTTGTTTAATATTTATTAGGTTTAGATTGTGCTTTCCTCCAAAAGACGTGAGGCACCACACAGCCAACTCTCATATAATAAACGTGACATTAAACTCATCTTTAAAACCCTAAACAGGGAGGTCATGAGTGGCGGCAGAAAGGAAATGAACAAGGTCAGGAAGAAGGAAGAGCCAGGGGTCTGGTGAAATATGCAACCAAGGAGACAGTATGTTAGGAGATCCAGTGATCAGAAGCTACTGTCCTGCCCTTCAGTCAGCCCTGCCTGTAGGGACCCTGACACCACCTTGTCTCCCAAACAACAGAGCCCCAGTAGCTCCATTTCTGTGCAGGGGTGCGGTACATGCATACAGGTGAGTGGGGAGGTGGTGGAGTCTGAGAATTATAACTCAGGGCTCTCGAGAGGATATCTGAAAACAAAGAAAGCTACACAGACAATTGTGTTTTGAACATCAGTGGAAAGAGATACACGGTAATGTCTTATAACACATCGTTATAACAAATCACGGAAACATTAGTTTTCTTTTCTTAACAAGCACACTTCACGTTCAGTCCTCCATTTGGCTGAGTATCTGGAATCTCCAATGGCTCTGCAGACTTTCAGAGGCCAAGGAGGCCCTGCAGTTCAGATTCTCAAAAATCAAAAAGTGACAGGGTGGCCTCAGCTCCTAAACCCCGGGCCACATGGATTTAACAAAGCCACATGTTGACGGCCTGCACATGTGGTCTGGGCAATGGGGACAGGGTATTTAAATAGCAACTCTCCCAGCAGCTGCTGGTAGAATGAGCAAGGAGGGGGCATATTCTAATGTGCTATCCAAAGTAGAAATGGGCATCTTCATTAAACAGAGCAGAAAAGTAACTTACCTGTCGCTACAGAGTAGGAGAGAATCCAGCCAGGAAAAATAACAACAATAATAATACTATTTTCACTTATAGTAATAGCACCAGTATTATTAATAGTGTTATTGCTGTTATTTTTGGGTACTATGTACCAGGCACGCTTGTGGTCCATTTACATATGCCAACTAGTTTAATTATAGAACAAACCTAGAAGGTGGGCATGACCATTTCCCTAATTCTACAAATAAGGAAACTGAGACAACTATGTTATTTGCCCAGAGTCACTCAGCTAGTAAGTGATTGAACTGGGATTCAGACCCAGCACAAGAGGGAAGGTAAGAGGTGGGAAACAAGCAAACATATAGAAGTCATTGTGTGAGTTTAACAAAGAGAGCAGTCACATTGGATCAAGTTCCCCGCCCTGAAAGCTATTGATAGAGAGTAAACAGCACAAGAGCAGTGTGAGAACACAAATAAAGACCTTAAAATCAGGCTGTGGCCAGCACAAAAGAGCAGGGGACAAATGGCCTCCAGAAGAAGAAATTGGTGCAGTGACACTGAGATACTGAGACCCTGTGAGGAGAGGACCTCAGAATGGACAAGCAATGTCATTATTCCTGAGGCCTCAGCAAGCAGGACCTAGAAACTGGTACCCAAAACCCACCATCTTGTCTTATATAACTGGATATTCCTATCAATTTAACTGTAGAATCCTACAGTGAGTCGTTCTCAGTAATCCCTTTGTGATCCCACTAAATGTAGTAAATGCCATGCACTGAGCATTTACTCAGCCCCAAGCAGCTAATATACATCATCTTAGTTAACTCACAGCAACATTATAGTTATCTCCAGCTTACAGATGAGGAGGCACAGAGAAGTTGAGTAACTTGCCCAAAGTAACACTGAGCTGGTAAAATGTAGAAATAGTGGAGGCTTCTCAAAAAATTAAGAATAGAGTTACTATATGAGCCAGCAACCCCTCTTCTAAGTACCTGCCAGAAAAAAAAATGAAAATATTTATTCACAAAGACATATGCACCCCTATGTTCATTGCAGCATTGTTCACGGGGGCCAACACATTTAAATAACTGGAGTGACGTTGGATAGATGATTGGATAAAGAAGACATGGTACATATATACTATGGAATACTACTCAGCCATAAGAAAAGAAAAAAATACTGCTATTTGTGACAACATGGATGGACCTTGAGACTATCATGTTAAGTGAAATAAGTCAGACAGAAAAAGTTAAGAAACCATATGATTTCACTCATATGTGGCACATAAAACTAAAAACAACAAATGAACAAACAAGAAAAACAAACAAATAAAACTTCATAGACACAGACAACAGTATGCTGGTTCCCAGAGGAAAGAGGGGTGAGAGGGTAGTAAAGGGTGAAGAGGGTCAGACAGATGGTGATAGAAGAAAATTCGATTTTGGGTGGTATGCACACAATGAAATATACAGATGATATATCATAAAATTGTATACTTGAAACCTATATAATTTTATTAACCAATGCCACCCCAATAAATTTAATTTAAAAAAAAATGTAGAGATAGACCCCCAAGTCTAGGGGGTCTGGCTCCAGACCCCATTGTTGCCATTCTTGCTGCTGCTAGAACCTGATTCCATTCACTTCATTCAGCTCTCCTTCTACTCCTCTCTCTGACCACGCCTTTGGTCTGTCTGACCTCTCTCCTGACAAGGAAACTAACCAAGGTTGTCTTGCTTTCATTCCTGGAGGGCCAGCCTATTTAGTTACCTAATATTATTCCAGTCAATAGGAAACATTGTTATTTTTAGGGGTGTTTGGGGCAAATGTGTTCAAGAAACCAATGACCAATGCCAAAAGCAGCTGGTCCAATGTAAACTGATGTGAGAGGTAAGGTTGGACGGACCAAAAATACAGCTGCAGCTTGGTGCTCAGCTCTCCCACTGTCCCCCTTGTGCCTCAGGAAAGGACCATGGAATGTGAGCCTCTTCTGCATGCAAGGGGGCACAGTCCATTTATATAGTTATAGACTCTGCAATCCATTTCCTTCTTTTTCTCACCCCATCCTTTTCCCTAGACACACAGAACCCACAAGAAGTAACTCATCTCAGCCCTAGCCAAGGGAAAGGAACGTCTCCTACCTTCCACTTGATAAGCCGCGGTGGCTGCCCCCCATCCAAATCCCGCAGGGAAAGCCATGGTTCCAGGGAGACAGCTGGCCATCTGGACACTCAGCCCACAGGAGCACGGTGGCCTATTGGCAGAGCAGCCCAGCAATTGTGCAAATAGTAAGTAAACTCTCACCCCTGACAAGGGTCACAGAGAGCCACTGTGTATGCAAATGAGCAAGGGGACAGATTAAAGATTAAAGTGACTTGATAAAATGCCAGGCACTTTGTACCAGGTGAGCATTTGGACTTTTCTCTCCAGGCACTCCCTGATTCTTAACGAACTTGGATCAGCTTGGGTGCTGACCTAGTCCCTGCTTTGGTGGGTCACCCATTCATCTGATCCTTTGCCTTTTCATGAAATACATGGACATTGTTTTTTAAAGCCACATAATCCTACTAGAATTTTCCCTTAAGCAATTCCTCCCAATTCCTAATCCCTACTTCTTAGAGGTAACTATTTTCAACTGTTTCTTCTAGTACAGTAGCAAGCCCTTCCCCCCACCCCCGCCCTTATTTGATGGGGATATGTTCCAAGATCCCCAGTAGATATTTAAAACCATGGATAATACAGAACCATATCCTATCTAATAAAAGAGTAATATACAAATTGGCCATCACTCCAACATACAAGATGGCTGCTCCCATGTGGTCAAAGATGGCTGCCACAAGATGGCTGGCAAGGGAGGGCAGTGTGGGGTGATCGGGACAGCAGGGGAGGGGAGTTGGGGGCGACCAGGCTGGCAGGGGAAGGCAGTTAGGGACAATCGGGCCGGCAGGGGAGCAGTTAGGCATCAATAAGGCTGGCTTGGGAGTGGTTAGGGGGTGATAAGGCTGGCAGGCAGAAGTGGATAAGGGCAATAAGGCAGACAGGCAGGCAAGCAGTTGGGAGGCAGCAGTCCTGAATTGTGAGAGGGATGGGGCCTAAACGGGCAGTCGGACATCCCTTGAGGGGTCCCAGATTGGAGAGGGTTCAGGCTGGGCTGAGGGACACACCCCCCCCATGCACGAATTTTGTGCACCAGGCCTCTAGTCTATAATAATAAAAGTGTAATAGGCTAATTAGACCAGACAGCCATGGCAGCGGGGGCCAAGGCAGAGGCAGTTAGGGGTGATCAGGCAGGCAGGTGAGCAGTTAGGGACGATCAGGCAGGCAGGTGAGTGGTTAGGGGCAATCAGGCAGGCACATAGGTGAGCAGTTAGAAGCCAGCAGTCCTGGATTGCGAGAGGGTGCAGGCCGGGCTGAGGGACACCCAACCGCCCCCCCCCCACCCCGCCGCATGCATGAATTTCATGCATCAGGCCTCTAGTCTATAAAAATAAAAGCATAATATGCTAATTAGACCAGACATCCTTCCGAATGACTTTCCAGATGAAGCCGGGGTTGCGAGGGAAGCCCAGGTCCCAGGTGCCAGAGGGAAGCCAGTGCCGGCAGCCAGGAGAAGGAAGACCTACTCTTGCACAAATTTCCTGCATCGGCCTCTAGTATATATATGAAGTTTAATTTCTAAATTAGGCCCAGTAAGAGATTAACAACAAAAACTAATAAATAGAACAATTTTCACAATATACTGTAATAAAAGTTATGTGCGTGTGGTCTGTCTCAACATATCTTCTTGTGCTGTGCTCACCCTTCATCTTGTGAGGAGGTGAAGGGAGGTGAATGACACAGGCACTGTGACAGAGCATAAGCTACTCTTGCCTCTGGGGCCACTTTTAAGTACAATAAGGTTTCCTTGAAAACATGTCAGTCAATCTCATCACCTATGAACACAACACATGGGGAGTGTCTACAGCGCAGACCTGCAGGACAAAGGGATGACTCAGGTCTTGGGCAGGACAGAGCCTGACATAAGATTTCTTCATGCTACTCAGAAAGGTGTGCATTTTCAAACTTAGGAATTGTTTATTTCTGGAATTTTTCACTTAATATTTTCAGACCACAGCTGACCATAGGTAACTGAAACCTCAGAAAGTGAAACTGTGGATAAAAAGAAAAGACTGCGTTTACTTCCATGTGGTTTAAATAATAGGCTGATACTGATGCTTCAGAATTTGCTTTTAGATTTTAGAGACTGATCATTGACTTCTGGATATAGTAGAAAATCCTAGTTCTCTTTCTCTCTCTCTCACTCTTTCTCCCCCCGCTCCCCACCCCCCGCCATCCACTAAACAGGATAAGATTACCTGTTCTGTTTAAATAAGTATTTGACATTTACATTACTATGACTACATACAGTTCAAAATTGAGCCATGTGGTATACCATGCTTATATACAACTTTTTATTTCCTCTGGGGCTAATCAGTTGTCTGGGTTTTATGTTTATTTTTTTCTATCCCTATAACTAATTCATCCCCAAACACCCTGACAGAACCATAAATCTCCTCGCTGTTCAAACACCTCTGTTTTCCTGCTCCATTGTGCACTGTTTGTTTTTAGGCGGCCGCCGAGCTAAGTTATATCATCTGCTACCTGCTCCCCTGTCTCCTGGGCTTTCTCCCTGTTTCTTCTTCCTTTTGTAGAGAAGCAAATCCATGAATAACTTCCCGACAAAAGGGGCGTGGAAGGTACACTTTTTGAAACCTTGTAGTTCTAGAATTGTCTTTATTATAACATCACACTTGCTATGTGGTTTATACACTATAGGATTTTCTGATGAAAATAATTTTCACTCAGAATTTTGAACGCATAGGTTTGCGGCTTTCTAGCTTCTATAGGTGACCTGTTTTGTGGTCCAGCCCACCCTCCCTGCTCCCCAAGCTTCTATTTCTGCAACCTCACAGTCTCGTGCCTCAATGTGGGTCATCTCACCCAGGCGCCCAGCATGTTCCACAGGCATGTGGAATGTTGACAACAGGGGGAAGTGGGTGAAGAGGACACGGGGTCTCGCTGGACTGTCTTTGAAACCTTTCTGTGTCTCTAAAATAGATCCACAGGGAAAAGGTCATTCATTTTTAAACGCCCATGGAGAGAGGAGTTAGGCGAAATCAAAGTGAAAAAAGTTACTTTTTTAGTTCCCCAAAGACAGCACTAAATCAGGAACACAGATTGGAATGAAGTATATCCCACCCTACCGGGTTATCCTAACCCCAAGGGGAAGCATTAATATAGAAGGAAATGAAGGGAGACATTTAAAGGTACATATTTGGTGATCTAAACATCGGAAATACAGGGCATTAAACAACTATTAACTGAGTCCCTACAGTCCTTCAGTTCTGAAGCAATCATTGTAACTCCAATGAAAAAATATATTAAATTATTTTCATTATGGACCACTAGATGGCAGTATTGCAACTTTTTTTAGGTTTACAAGTTAATGTATGGAGTGTTACTGAAATTTAGTTATCCCACCAGTGGCCACCTACCCCAGCAACCCCTAGCTAACTACAACTGCTCTTCGACTGGTTTTCTCCAGAAAGAATATGCTACCTTCTCAGCAATCCACATTCTCTGAAGTAATTTGACCACAAATGGTCGAATTTACTTTTCCTCAGCTCTGATGGGATTCTCTAGCATAGGATTCTCAAGTGTTAAAAATAATTGAGGCCTTTAAGGGGCTTTTAAAATTGTGGGTTATATTTATCAACATTTACTCTATTCTACTCTACTCAAAACTAAAACTGAGATTTAAAAATAATATTTACTGATGACTTCTTTTAAATAGCATTAAAAGCATGTGAACATAGTAAATAACATGTTTTAGGAAAAATAATCATGTACTCAAAAACAAAAAATACTTCTCTTTTATGCCTGACTTCACAGTGGACAGTCGGATGTTCATATCTGTCTCTGCTTCCATGTGCTGCCTCTGGAAAATTCCACTGCAAACTCAGAACAAGAGCTGAGACTGAAAGAGGCAAATCATGTCTTAGTATCATCACGACAAGAGTTTTGATCTCGTGGGTTCCCAGAAAACCTTAGCTGTCCCGGCACTCTCTCCAGAATCTTCCTTTGCTACCCACACCTCTCTGCATCTTCTCACCTCTCAGAGATCTGCTCACCTCTCAGAGATCTGATTCTACCAATATTCCCTGCATGAAAGTCCTTATGGCTGTAAGACACATGTATTTGCAGAATTTACACACTATCTTGGGTTAAAAGCATTTTATTTATTTATTTAGTTAGTTAGTTAGTTAGTTAGTTATTTATTATCTTTATACAAAAAGAATTCTGATATCATGGTCCTATCTAGCAAGACTAGCTGGTAACTTAACTTGTCATTCTCTCAGTCCCCTTCATTCCATGTTAGGGCCATACATTAACGTAAAAGTCCTACAGAAAAAGTAGGACTTACATTAAATGAAGACTACACATAAGAAACGATGCCTGGTGTCCCCGTTCTCTCCGCTCACAGCTTTGGTCCATAGTGATGAATGCTGAGACGCCCACTCTCCAACCTCCAGGCCAGCCATGGTCCTTCCAAGTCCACTCACGGACTCTCTGCTTTGGAGGCACAGGGTGTAAATCTGAGGCCTGAGGTTCAACCCCTCCTCCAACTACTCAGTAATCTCTGTGAGATCCTGCCGCCTTCCCAGGGTACTGCCTTGGAACAGCACACTGAACACTAGCATTCAGGACAGGTACCAACTCCTGTCCACAATCCAAGCTGGAGGGGAACATGAGACCTTGCATTAAGGTCTTCGCTACAGATGTGCTCTCTCTAGAAGTCCGGAGTGGTGAAGGACTATAAATACAGTGTCCTCCTGGGGAAAAATATATTTTTTTTCTTTGTTAGCTGCAAAACAAGCTGTTATTCAGGAAGGATTCAGCCCCATTAGTCATGACTTTGAACCTCCCAATTTGAAATGCGGAGATTCAGAAATCCTGGCACTCAAATGTTCCTGAGAACCCCTGTCAGGAGGAAAGTCTGTGTCTAAATGGGCATTTTCCCATCTGCAGCAAAGACAGCAAAGAGCCAAGCCCTATTTCCTATTCCCTCTGGGCACACAGTCAGACCACATTTGTCAACCCCACAACCCCCCTGCCTTAGATGTGGCCATGCGACTGAGTCCTGGCCAGGGGAGTGTGGGCAGAAATGAGGCCCACCACTTCCAAGCGAGGTCGCCGAGATCTGCCCACACAGTCACTCGTGGCATCCACATGTCACTAGTCCCCTCTCATCCACCGACTG